AACAATTTTTTTAAACTTTGGTGCAATAGTGATCAATTCTTTAATCGGAGGTCTATCCATGGTTTGATTGAGCTTATTTTTGCACAGCAGCTAGGCAATTTGGTGTTCTTCATTTTGTATGATCAGATTTTTCATCTGAGTCCTGTAGTGACAGGAATCACCAATTTTTAGCAGTTGCGTTTTTGGTGTTCTCCATTTTTCTCTCTTCTTGCTAAAGATTACTAGTTGTTAGGCTTGTTGGAGTTATATGCTTCTTGTAGACTTGATTTTGTGATCTTATAACTGAACATTTGATGATAGTGAAGTTTTTTATCGGATTCTAAAGTCCCATGGTTTTTACCCATGATTTAGAGGGTTTTTCACGTAAAAATATCGGTGACTCTATTTATTTGTGTTGTGGTTGTATTGGTTGAATTGTGGTTGATTAATGTTGCTAGAGAACATATATTGTGTTATTGTGCTTGCCATAATTTTTTATAGGAGTTATTAGGAGAGAAATAACACCAGTTGTGCTTCTGCTTGTGTTCGGTTGTTTGATTTATTCCTCAACAAATTGATATCAGAGCTTGGTTATTGTGTCAGATAATTATAGAAATTAAAGATGATTATGTTAAATAGCATGAATTATCAACTTTGGCGGAATAAAATGAAAGACTTGTTGTTTGTGAAAGCTTTGCATCTTTTAGTCTTTGCTACTCAAAAACCCGATACGAAAAGTGATGAAGAAGTGGAATTCGAGTATCAACAAGTGTGTGACTTTATTCGAAAATTTGTTGAAGAGAATGTTTACAACCTATTGATCAAGAGACACATGCTTACACATTGTGGGAAAAGCTGGAAAGCTTGTATGCTTCGAGGTCGGGCAATAACAAATTGTTTTTGTTGAAAAAGATGATGGCAATACAAAGAATGAACGTCTACATTTGACTATGTTAGTGAATTTCAGAGTGTAAAGAATCAGTTGTTTGGTATGGGGGTTAAATTTAATGATGATATTTTAAGGCTTTGATTGTTTGCTACTCTACAAAACTCTTGGAAGACTTTTCGGGGTCTTATTAATTCTACTCCACATGGTATTATTAATTTGGATTTGGCTAAGAGTGGTGTTAGAAGAAGATCTCAGGGTTCTACATCACATTTCGAGATATTGGTTACCGAGAATAGGGAAAGAAACAAAGACAAAGATAAAAAGGGCAGAGATAAAAGCTGAAGCAAGTCAAGATCAAGATAAAAGAATTTTGAGTGTCATCATTGTGGTAAGAAATGTCATATCAAGAAATATTACTTCAAGTGGAAGAAAGAGAACAAAGGTGGTAGTGATAAACACAATCAGAAAAATAATGAAAAATCTGAGCGTGTTACTACTATTACTCGTGATGATTTTAGTTATTTGTGATGAGAATTTGATCAACCTAGCATGTGACGAGGCTAACTGGGTGATTTATATTGGTGTTTCACTTCATGTCACGGCGATGAGGGATTTCTTCAATATTCACAGCTTAAACTCTTGGTGATTTTGGGATATTGAAGATGGGTAATGATGGTTTGGTTTCGATTATTGACATGGGAGATGTTAGCTTGGTGAGTAATAATGGTACAAAGTTAACTATCAAGGATGTCAGACATGCATCGGATATCCGTTTGAATTTGATATATTTAGGAAAGCTTGATGATGAGAGATTTTGTAACACCTTCAGTGAGGGGCAGTGAAAACTGATTAAAGGCTCCTTGGTTGTGGCTCGAGGAAATAATAGCTCAAATTTGTATTTAATGCAGGCTTCGACTTTTGGAGACACTATGAATGTGACAGTGAATGATAGCTCCACTGAGTTATGGCAGAAAAGGCTTAGTGTTGCGTGATGAGATTGCTATAAATTGGACGCAAAATATGTGCAAGTATACACAATCACACAAGTAATAAAGAGTGAGTGAGTATCGTTCCCACGAGGATTGGAGGAAATTGCAAGTTAATTTAAAGCATGGATACTAAATTATCTAAGTATAGTTAGTGTAGTGGTATGAACAATTGAGAATAATGTGGCGAAATGAAATGAATGCGGGTGGTATTGTGGAGATGTGATGTCGAATTGTGATTGCAACGTGGTAGTGTAGAAGATGGAAATGTTGTGGCAAGTGGATATGTTTTGGAAATGTAACCAAGTAAAAATGTTAAGGTAAAATGAGTCGAGAATTCGGAAATAAATAAGCAGACTTAATAATCCTCACACAAACAAGCTACTACGGGAATGAAAGGTGGGGTTACTGAAGAATCCTAGCCTTACCTCTCAGAATGGTTCAAGCTTCTATGGTCTATTTGCTCAACAGAGTTTACTAAGAGTATCCCTACGCTATCTCTAGTCATGAGACCTGACAAATAAAAATGTCATAGCAATACCTTTCGGCGTGAGCAATAACATCAAACCTATCAAATAAGAACTACTCCTTTTAGTCGTTGAAATCCCATTCTTATCTCTAATATGGATTAGATTCTAATTGGCAGCTAAAACCCATTGCTCACATAGATCATCCCTTAGTTTCTCTCTAACACTAAGGATTTTTTACCTAGTTTCACTCGAACACTAAGTATTCTACCTAAGAAAAAGCTAATCTCATAGCTCTTACAATCCTAAGCAAATAAGTACAATGAGCAAAGCAAATAGAAAACATAAAAAACTTAAATCGTTCATTAAAGTAAATACCTAATCATCCATGAGAACCCACACCAAATAAAGTTTAGTTCATGGTGGGGTTCGAAATATCCCAGAGAATAATCTGTTCCATACAACCCAAGTAATCAAATGAAAATAAAAGTATGAGGGTGGAAGAAACTCCTTACGCGCACTGTCGGTTGCTCATCGGACCACCACGAACGGCACATTAACGATGCTAGTTCCTCTTGTATGTCTAGCTCGCCACTCCCTTGAGCTTGGCTATGAAGGAACCCTTTTAAAAAGATGAAAAGAAAAAGAAAGTTGGAAACTTTCAGCCGCCTCTCACTCTTGCTTAGCTCACTATTTCATTCCAAGATTCCTACCTTAATTTTTGTGGCCACATTTTCTATTTATACTACAGAAATGTCCTAGATTTTAGTGTAAAAATTCCCATAGTACCCTAGGGTACATTTCCCTCAAGTGAAAATGGGTACAAAGGTGGTAGTGGTCCCCTCTAAGGTGGTTAGCAGCAGAAAACACGTGAGTGCTGGACAATTGGCACTTTGATGAAAATATCTCCAGCTCTTTTGCCTTTTTCTACGCCCAGAAATGTCGTTCTAGCTGCCACGACATTTTCCTCATGCTTAGTCATTCCAGATTGCCTTGGCAATTCTCCTTTGGTCACCCTTTGCTTCATCAACCTGCACATCACCAACAAAACACAACCTTCCCCATAAAACAACACCATTTATAAAATAATATCCCATGACAAACAAAAACCATCAAATGCAGTTATAAGTTCCTAAATGCATCTATATAAACCTATATGTGCTTTAAGGTAGCCAATAACTTAAGTGAAAATACCCTAAATATAGTCTTTTTATGGAGTTATCACTTAGTCACATGAGAGAGAAAGGGCTTAATTGTGTAGCTAAGAAGAATCAACTTTCAAGTTTGAAGAATTATGCTCATTCTCTAGCAGAGAAGCAGAGAAGAGTTTCCTTTAGAAGTCCTCCTCCTTATAGAAGATCGGAGTTGTTAGAGTTGGTCCATTTAGATGCTTATGGTCTGATATAGGTAATGTCACATGGTACTACACTTTATTTTGTGACTTTCATTAATGATTGTTCAAGAAAGCTGTGAGTTTATATTTTGACATTGAAAGACCAAGTTTTTGAAGCGTTTATACAGTTTCAAGCATCAATTGAAAGGGAAGCATGAAAGAAATTGATGTGCATTCGTATTGATAATGGTGGTGATTACACATGGCCATTTCATGAGTATTGTGTGCAACAAGGAATCATACATCAGAGGACACCACTGAAGACTCCACAATTGAATGGTTTGGCTGAAAGAATGAACTGAACATTAAATGAGAGAGTCAGATATTTGTTGTTAGATGCAAAGTTGCCAAGATCGTTTTGGGCTGAAGCTTTGAATACAATGACACGTGATTAATCTGTCTCCTAGTGTTCCTTTGCGAGGTGATGCACCAGATAGAGTTTGGTTTGATAGAGAATATATATTGTGTTATTATGCTTGTCATAATTTTTTATAAAAGTTATTGGGAGAGTAAGAACACCGGTTGTGCTTTTGATTGTATTTGGTTGTTCAATTTCTTCTAAAACAAATAAGTTTTATGTCCGTCTCTGAATATATGTGAACTTTATTCAAGCGATATGATCTTTCATGTATGGTTCTTATTTCGAACTATCACTTTATTTATATTGTCTCCATCACTAACATGTAGTAACCCACAAATAAACTTTATCATTAACTAAAATATGAATAAATTTATGTTTTCGGTAATGAAACTTTAAAAGTAATGAAATAATTATTAATATTATCGTTTATAATAAATCATTCATTAAATCGTTCACCGTCGTTATCTTAATTAGCAAAATACTAATGCGTTACGTTTGACTTATTTGATTCTCGGCTGAAACTAAAAATTCAATGGGTTAATTTGTTTGATACAGCATAAATTACATTTTGACTAAGTACACTTTGCCCTCTTTCCTTCTAAAAGTTTTGCAAAATGATCCTTGGGATTCAAGCTTATACCTTCGTCCGAACTCCGTCACGTCCAAGATTCCGATGTTCTGCTTACATCAAAGGTATTGTCATCTTTGGACATTCATAGGTCTCCCAAAACTTACCGTTACGTGCAGTGATGAGAAAGAGACTCGAATATCGGTCATTATAATCTTGCTTCCATGGAATGATAATTGGTGTTCTTGTTGAACCATCTTAATTACCGAGTCCTGGAAGATTCGGAGGAAGTACCAAAACCCTGCATTTTTCTCAAACCATTTGATATGAAGCTGTCTTGTGCTGTAAGTTCATGGCAAAGTTGCTGTTCCAAGCACATAAGCATTTAAAAAAGAGGCTGGTTCGGCATTGGGATTTCGTAATCTTTATCGGTTAACATCTGAACCACTTCTGCCATTGATGGTCTAAAGAGAACCGAAGCTTGTGTGCATAATAGCCCAACTTGGAGGACACCTGGGGCCTCTTTTGCGGACATTTCGTCTCTAATGCAAGGGTCAACAGCTTCAGCCAAGGCATTGGATTTGTAAAGTGTCCAAACCTGAGGTTGAAAACCTCAATGATCTAAGAACAGCAAAAAGTAACAATCCAAAACATTTTATTGAAAAGTTCAGATTTGAGTGTAGAAGGGGAATGGGAGAGATGGCTGAATCCGGGTTGTTACATTGGGAGCTTACTTTTTGTAGAAGGGAACCGGACTTTGTGAAGCTGCTATTTTTTTGACCACATACAATCTCAAGAACAAGTACTCCGAAACTATAAACATCAGATTTATCCGAAAGTTGTCCTCGAACAAGGTACTCGGGAGCCATGTATCCTCTGCACGAAAATCTCAAACCAAGTTGTTAACAACACTTCAATGGAAACTGTAATGCCTTACAGTCTATTGGATCCATGGCTAAATATGTTTCTCGTGCTCAAGCTTTCAATCAATCTCATATGTAATGACAGATGAATCTTTTGTAAACTTACAGTGTTCCAGCAATTCCGGTGCTAAGATGACTCTTCTCGGTACCTAGACTTCGAACAAGACCAAAATCCGCAATTTTTGGATTGAGATTCTCATCTAAAAGAACATTGGTGCACTTAATATCCCTGTGGATTATCCTTGCGTGAGAACCTTCTCCGTGAAGATGAGCTAGACCCTCGGCTGTTCCGGCGATGATATCAAATCTCTGCTTCCAGTTTAGAAGTTTCGATTTCTCCTCATCTGCATTTGAAAACTAAATCATCGACATTTGAAACTAAAATCATCTAGTGTTGCTCCAATTTTTCATTTTTTCCACCTCATATTATCTGTTTCAGACATATAATTAGACATGAAATACGATGTGTTTGACATAGGCATGTTGAATCTTTTGAAGTTCATCCATGTATTAGAAGGTTCATATCATATATCCATGTCCAAATATGCATCAGATAAGTCTATTCAAGAAAAATGGAAATAGAAGTAACACAGAGTAGGATTACTTAAGCTGAAAGATTATGTTTATCGTCACAACACGATGAACGAAAACACATCTATGACTGTAATTTAAGCTCTGGGAACGGAGAACTTCACAACGTTGCCACCAACAACAGATTCGAAGTTTTAAAAATCAATCTAAATAAAGGCAAATTGATTAAAGAGAAAAACATTACAGTAAATGAACTGATCAAGGCTCTTGTTGGGCACATATTCATAAACCAGTAGACTCTCAGGTCCCACAACGCTAGCACCAAGAAGCTTCACCAGATTCTTGTGTTCAATTCTGCTGATCAAAATTACTTCATTAAAGAAGTCGTCCACCCATTGCCTCGTATTATATATCAATCTCTTTACAGCTACAGTTTTTCCATCAGGCAGAACCCCATGAACACTGAACCAGCTCCTCCTTGTCCTAATTTCCTTGAAGGACTGAAATAATCAGTTGCTTTCTCTAGAGTTTCGTACTTGAACATCAAACCCGATTTGTCGAACCTTTCCAGAATCCGGCCTAGATTTTCGAGCTCTAGGAAATGAATTAGATGGTTAATATATGCATAAGGTTAGATATGAACACCATTGATATATAATTTTCGGCGCAATTTTTTGAAGATTAAGATTTTGCACCTCTTTTCCTCTTTGATAATCTTGCATGTATAGTATAAGCTGCTGCAACAGCGAGTGTCACAAATGCAGATGATGCTGATACAATTGCTATAATGACTTCAGCAGAGAGCCCTGGAAAATAGAAAAAGAATACATTGTAATTCAACTAGGAAGTGAAATAAAATTTCCAATTTATCGACTTAACAATTAAAAGATTATTGTTACTTCTTGAGGTATCGAGTTCGAGCACTACTTATATAAGAATATGAGCGTTTAATATCAAATAATTAAATATCAATAAAAAAGCATTTTTGATATAGAATTGTCCCCCCCCCCCCTCAAAACTAGCCTCATAGATAAGGACCACGCTTCCCCTACCGCATCACATTTTCAAATGACAAAACCATACAACTTTCTTATAGCCCGTTACAGAGATGAGCGTACGATTGAGTCCAGTTAAATTCGAGTTGATAAGTGATATTTTATAACTTAAACTTAATTTATTTTTTTATTTTATAAAATTCAAGTCGAGTTGTTCGTGTTTCCTATACAAATTCAATTGTACATATTTATAGTGTTATGGTACACTATTGGTTCCATTTTTTACTTTCTCTAACCATATAAGATGTATATTTCATTATTCTTTTTCACATTGTAATGTTATTTAATAAATCAAATACAATCTAAAATTATAAAGTATATCTACAATAATATATTTCAAACAATGCATTTTGAGGATAAAGTATTGATGAAAAATATGAAAGAGTCAAAAGAAATGATTAGAAGAAAGAATTTGCAAACAATTGCAGTTAGAAGATTAAATTGAGTAAAATATAAAATTAAGAGACTAAATTGAAAAATTATATTTTTATTAAAAATAAGAATTGAATTTACATAGGTATTCTATAGTGGTGAGAGAACATGTGGTTAGGATTTAATAAAAAAACAGAATGAATGATGAATTAAAGAAATGTGAAAATCAAGCAAAGTTGATATACTATATTAAAAATAAAAAATTATTATTAGAAAGCATGATTGAAAGAACATAGGTGTCCTACGATTGTTTAATAGCATGCGACTCGAATTTGATAAAAAAAATGGACTTAAAACGAAAGAGAAATTGAAGAAATATGGAAACCAATGACCAAATTGCAAAATTGTTAAAATACATAGCCAAATTTTTCGTTTTCTCGTGTGACTCAAAATTTTAAAATTTTAACTCGACTCAAACTTAGAAACCGACACGATAATTCAAGTTAACTCAAATAAACTTCAATAACTCAAAACTGAAAGAGAAATAAATTTTTGTCGAATTTTTATGGACCTTTCATTCTTATACTCCGAAATTCCTTCACCGACAATGTTGTGGTGGTTAAAAAACGACAGCTATGTCTCTATTACAAACTCAAACAAAACCACCGAACAATCCCAGTGGTTCCCGCAGGAAATCCAGCAACCAACCAGATATCAACAGAATACATTAAAAGGCTAAATCCAACAAAATAATCTAAAATTAGTTGCAGAATCTACTGTAGAACAACCAAAAAATAATCTCAAATCACCCTCTAAATCCTGGAAAAAAATGTTTAAGATACTCTATCAAACACATATCCTACACTCGAGCCAAGATCATTTCTTCATTAAAATAAAGCTCAGTATCTTCAAAAAAGAAAAACAAAAGGCAAAAGACTTACCATGATGACCATCAGAATCCGCCCCATCATTATAGAACCTATTTGTGGAGTACCTCAAATAGCACCCAGCATTCAAAGCTCTCCCTTCTTCCTTGGGCACACATCCTCTCACCGTCTGCACTGCCGACACTCCGCCGGCGTAAGGCTCTCCCGACACTGCGCCAATGCATACACCCCATCCAACCCGACCGCCCCAAATCCATTTCTTCTCAAAGCAATACTCGTCACATTCCCGACCGCATGGTCAACGTTTCTACCGAACAAAATCCTCCTGCTGTTGTTATTTTGACCGACCATTGTTACATTATCGGAACCGCAATTAACGGTATCGAAAGTTGACGAAACGGACTCGTGATAGAAATCCCGGTAATATTCGAAACGCAAGAAGCAGCCATCGAGGAAGATTCGAGCCGAGCGAGGGAGGCAACGCGGGATTCGAGTCCTTGCCGCGGCAAAGCAAAGGGCGCAATCCGTTTGATCCAAATCTCCATGGCATTGAGCCAATCCATACATTAGAGGCGTGGAGTTGAGATGATAGGAAGCAAAGAGAGTATTGTTGATCTGAACTGACAACTGTTTCATCACTTCAGTGAAATCCAGAACGAAGTTCGTCCCGTTTGGCTCCTGGGAACCGTCGCAGAAAAGCCCGGCGTTTGTGATTCTTGGATCAGAGAAAGAGGTGAAAACGAACACAGAAAAGACAAACAAGAAAACCCATCTCCAATGTGATTGTTTGAATGCTGAAAACTCCATAGATTTCATGTTTAGCCTTCTATTTTCCTTTTTTTCCAGGGTTTTGAACCTAGTTTTTGTTGAATGGAACTTCAAGAGACGAAGAACAAGGAAGGTTGTGGAGTTTGAAGCTGACTTGAGCTCCCTCGATACAGTTGGTGTTAAGCTCAAAATGATTTAATGTTGAACTGAAACGAAGACTTAAGAGTTGGAAACAACGAAAGAGGATGAACGCGCTTTCAAAATGAATAGGCAGAGGAACACAGAAGGTTAGGAATTGGAATCAATGCAAGGGGATGAACGATATTTAATCATCCATATTTGTTTCGATCATCCTCGACGGTCAGGTTTGGTTACTTTATATATTACGATATTTATTATCTACATATATTGATTTAAGCGGTAAGTAACTTAATATCATTTGAGTAGGTCTCGAATTTGAGTCCTTGTATATATATAAAATCTCCGTGAAAAGACACATCCACCAATAACAGGTGTGCAACGGATCGACCAGATTAATCATGACGAAACTCTTAAAATTAGAAAGACAACAAAAAAATATAATATGATACTTATTAATAAATAAAAAATATTTAATTAAATAATAATAATAATATAAGCCAAAATACAAATTTAAGATTTGTGTATTACTTAAACTAAAGAGTAAACTACTTGTTCACTTTTCTTTTATATTTGTATACTTTTACTTATCAAATTTAAAAAATTTAAGTTTTGGTCTCTTATGTTATCATTTATTACATTTTGACCAGTGAGTCATCAACTCTCTCTAGATGAAATATCATTAACCTCTAAATTTTAAATAAAATATCAATTTAACTCTTAAATTTAACCAAAATTGAGTTTTGGTCTCTTATGTTATCATATATATATATATTTATCTTGACAAAAAATTCTTAAATACTTATATGAAAAATATAGTATACTTTAAGTTTCAAGTGTTTATGTTATTGCACGAACCAAGCGACTTTAGTAGTTAAAGGAATGTTGTTATTCTTAAAGGTCTTATGTTCGAACATCAGTAACTACAAGATCGTTCATTGTCAAATCAAATGACTGAGAGCAGAGGCGGACCCAGGACAAAAATTCAGAGGTTGCACAAAAAACTCTTATAAGTTTTTTAGAAACTACGATATCTATAAATATAATAAAATGTCTAGAAATTACATTCTAAAGTTGACCTTTTCGTGTTTTCATTTTTTGAAAGCGATTGATTACACTTTCAATCTTAACATCTAAAAGTGCTTCTTTTTCTATTGCGCAAATCAGGGCATGATTCATAAAATCGTCACTCATTTTGTTGCGCAAGTCCGTCTTTAAAAGCTTCATTGCAGAAAAACATCTTTCAACCGTTGCAGTTGCAACTGGTAGAACCAAAACTAACTTTAATAACCTATAGACCAAAGGAAAAGAATGATGTTTCCCTGTTTCCACCATCAAGCGAGAAAGGTCGGCAATTTCATTCAAGTTAGCAAATCTGTCTTCATGTAGCAAACAATGATAGTAGATATCAAGTTGACCAAGAAGATATGTCCTTTCTGAATCACTAAAATCATCCGGGTACATCTCACTTAACTTCAACAACTTTGATTTATCAAACTTAGAAAATGAATCACAAGGACTCAAAGCTGCCATGTTTTCTAGCAATTTAGTGCTTACCTCACTAAATCGATCCCCAAATTCTTGAATTTGCATATCCAAGTGCTAAATCCTTCCATCACAAATGCATCTCTCCCACTTTGTTGTCCTACAATATCTCCAAATAAGTAGCAACATAAACAATAAGCTTTGTCCTCCTTTATGCTATACTCTAACCAATCAAATTCATCAAACCATTCAACGACAAAGCGTCTTAGCTTAGGACCTATCTTTTTTGATGGAAAAGTATGACCCCTTGGTTGACATGGTCCTTTAATCCAATATGCCCTTCTTATTTCATCTTTTTGATTTGGAAGATAAGATGTAATTTTTGGTCTATCCGCCGGATCCGAAGGAAGATCATTCACATTAATAGTTGTTGGAATGGAAGCCATGGGAGTAGGTGACACAGTGGTAGGTTGTGGTCTTTGTGGAACTTCATTTGAGCTATTTCTTTTAGAAGATCTTTCACTACTTCCATCAGTACCAACATCAAATTTCCTTTTAAAATAGTTACCAATAAAACCCTACAATTAAATATTTCAATAAATAAAATGATTAATTTATTAAAAACTTAACATATAATAATTATAAACTATGAATTACTACTTTACTTTAATATCCTAATTTTAATACATCAAACTAAACAAAACCTAATTTTAATGAATTAATCAGTTTCAAATAACAAAGCAATATTATATACTAGTTTACTACCTTTATTGTTAAATATGAAAAAATTAAATATGAATGAAAGAAGACAAAGTGAGAAAGATAATAAAATCATTAATGTAAAGAATAAATTAAGATAAAAGAAAATATACATACTTGTCTCATTTGTATATTTGGATAAAAATGTAGAAAGGAGAGATAAAAAGTCCCTTTCCAGGTTGCAAGTTTCAACTTTCACAGACCCTTCCACAATTCCACTTGCTGTCTTCAAGGTTTCCACTTTGCACCTTGCCCTTCAAAAGTTCAAAGTTCAATCGACTACTGTCGGCTTCCCCTTCAAAGTTCAATCGCATCAGGAAGGCAGTGAGGCAGCCCTTGCGGCCTTGCCTTTCCAAGATGGGTTGAGTTTCCACAAGACCACATCGGCACAGCCCTTGCCGGCGATTCACAATTTCCCTTCTAATATTCAATTGAGGTTTTCAGTTTCCACATAGGCACAACCCTTCTAATCTTCAATTGTCGTATCCCAATTATAGGTTCTTGATTCATGGGCTTAAGGTTTATTTTTTGGGCATGATCTCTTTTTTTGGCTTGATTCACAGGTCCGTTTTCGTAGGGTAGCACTCGTATTAGATAAAAAATCATAAACAATTAACAGAGAAATTTAAGGGGTTGCCCGTGCTACCCCGGGCTACTCAATAAGTCCGCCCCTGACTGAGAGTCTTTAGAGTAGATACTAATACATGTCACCCCAAATTAATAAAAAAATGTTTTATGTTATTATAAAAACGTTCTTTTAAATAAATAAAATACTTTTAAAATATTATTTTTAAAAATATAATTAATAAAAAAAATGTTTTATGTTATTATAAAAACGTTCTTTTAAATAAATAAAATACTTTTAAAATATTATTTTAAAAAATATAATAGAATTGATGATACCAACTAGAACAAATAATAATTTTCTCAAAAATACTTTTGATAAAATTTAAAATCTATTTTTAACTTAAAAAGGAACTCTTTTGAGCCTAAGTTGAAAAGTATTATGACTAAAATAATAACAATTATTTGGGTAAATTATATTGATCATCATTGAACTTTACTTTATCTTCTATTTCACTCATTGTATTTTAATTTCGTTCAATTTCCTCACTGAATTTAACATAATTGGTATTTTTGGTCACTCAACCATTTTCTCATTAAACGACGTTATAAATGAGTTGTTATATAGATGCAAAACGACATCATTTTGGTAAAAATTTTATTTTTATAAATCGACGTCTTTTTAATGCCGTTAAATATTTAACGTATGAGTAACAAAAAATGCTAATTGTATTAAATTCAATGAGAAAATTTAACGGATTTAAAGTAGAGTAAGTGAAATAGTAGAGAGAGTAAAGTTCAGTGATGCTTGGTGTAATTTACTCCATTTATTTTTATTTTAAAAATAATTTGAATCCAAAAAATTAATTTAAAAACAATGAAAAATTAAATATCAATCGTGTTGTAGAGGAATAAATAGGGATGGACACGATACTCAAAATCGATTGATTTTGACTCGATTCGATATTTTGGGATTGAGTTTTAAAAAACTGGATTCAAGTCTGGTCTAGTCAGGTTTTTTTAGAGATTATGTTCCGGTCTAGTTCATACATGGGCTAAAAAATATTTGACCCAAAAAAATATAATATTACCTTATATATTTAGGGATAATTGCAGTGAGATCCCTTATGTATTATTTTTTTCAATTAAATCTCTACTTTTTATTGAATAAAAGTAATGTTATATATATATTGTTTCCGATCGTATCGAGTCGAGTTCAAGTTTTATCTCAAAAGGACGGATCAGGTAGAGGTGTGTAATTTTCGAATCGAGTTAGGATCAAGTGGATAGTGTATAATTTTTGGGTCGGATCGTTTGACTGAAAAAGTGACCCGACCCGACCCATGTCATCCCTAGGAATAATTCACAGAATAAAAAATATAGGAAAATATGGTTTGGGAGAAAAAAATTTACAATCTAGAACAATTGCTTTAGCGAAAGATAAACTTGACACGATGAATTCTAAAGAAATATTATTTTTTTTAAAATCCGTTCAGGAATTTCAGTGAAAGTTCTCTAGGAATTTATCTTGTTAGAGCAATCCTTTAAATAATAATTTTTTGAACTTGTTGTGTTGCCTCCGTTGTAACAATTATTTTAAATTACTAATTTTTTCCATATTCTATTCATTTTTTAATTCAATATGAATTATTTAACTAAAAAATGCCCGTATCAACCCTTTTAGATAACATCATTTTTTTTATTCAAGCTCAACAATTATTCCTAAATTTGACTTTCCTTAGCCACCTTTGGAAAATGATGTGTTCCATTCCTTTTTAATTACTCCTTATTGCGGTGACTTTTGAATCCTCTCGAATAATCATCCTTTTCCCCTACAACAATTAACCCCATTACATTAACTGTGATAATTTAATACACAGCATTAAAATTAATATAAATATACATAAAATATATATGATTAATTATTTTATACACCATCTACATAATAAAAAAATCTACCACGGGGCACAAAGCAAACTACCTTAATAGTTAAAGAAATGGTTATTATTTCTAATAATTTCAAGTTCAAACACCAGATATTATAAGATATTTAAACATTCATTGTCGTATGATTGAAAATCTTTAAAACATATGTATAAACACGTTAGATTAATAATAAGAAGAAGAAACTACAATAGAGGGATTTACAATGCACCCACCTGTCATTTTTATTATTATTTTGTTTTTCTTCAAACAGTGAAAACAAAAGGTGAGCATTCGATCGAGCCAAATTAAAAAAATTAAATTATTTGAATTGATTAGTCTTATTTTATAATTAAATTTTGCTTTTTACAAATCGAGTCAAATTATCTAAGTCTTTGTTTAAATTTAATTGTATATCGAAAATATTTTTTTATGAATAGAGTTTGTGTTTAGAAATTACATCTTCGAGTATTTCTTTTCTAAAATTTTAGGCATAATGATAAAATTACCCTTCAACGTATTTACACAAAATGGTCATTTTACCTCTTTTTTTTTTTTTTTGGAGCATTTTGACCTCCAACATTTTAATTTTTTGATCAAAATAGACTTTATTAGATGAAGATTGCGAGTTGACTAACAGTCAGTCTATGTTAGTAATGCAGCATTTTTATATATGTTCAATTATTGACGTAGAATGTGCTAGGTCACCCGTTAGTATTTTTATTTTTAAAGATTTTTCTTATTTCTTTCATCTGTCAGATGTGCCACAATCACTCCTGGTTAGTCGTTTGAAGCTTTTGATCAAGGAATTTGGGCTGAAATCTATGTGGATGGGTCCTATTGGAACAATTAAAAACATTTTAAATGGTTTGTCTTTCATTCGATAATCCCTCTTGTACTTCTCATTTCAGGGATGATTGTTGAATAGTTGGCATACATGCATTAATTGGTGGATCGTATGGGTGAACGTTTAGTCGAGTCGAAATTTTTTTTCGAGGATACAGTGATTACGGGAGCAGGAAAGCTCAAGATGGTTTTTGGTGGGCTGATTAACCTTTATGCTTGGTGTGGTGCCATTGAACATAGGCAGGCATGAACCGAGAGAGGACTGGTGAGAGCTTTAAATTTTCATATAATTTAGACGTTTTCTTAATTTTTCTATCGATTATTTTCGTTCTCCCTAAAACCCCTAACATAAAATTTTATGTCTATCCTTGAACACAGATGAACTTTACTCGAGAGATGCGATATTTCATGTATGGTTCTTATTTCGAACTAACAAGTAGTAACCCACAAATAAACTGTATCCTTAACTTGGGTACGTCTTATGAGTTCAGGGGAACAAGAGAGTATTACTTGAACACATAAGAATTCATTGATGCTGTTGCAGTAAATCCCGAGTCGAAGCTTCAGAAATCAGCTTCGTGCGACTAGAACCGTATATCGTTATTCAAGTATATTCTGATGTTCGAAGATTTTTTATATTTGTATTCCACAGTGTATGTCAAACAAGATTTATTTATTTTTTGTCGAAGCTTCAAAAATGCTAAGTATGAAATTCTCAATAGTAAAATAATTATTATTTTTCCTAAACTTTTGGGTTTGAATAGCAATATTTACAGAGTGTATACGTTATCAATTGGTTTAAAAAAGTTCTAAACAGATAATACATTGTAATCATTCCAAACTATTTCAAAAGAAATATCAGATAAAATCTACCAAGCGAATTCAATGGTAAAAGAGACTTGAATACCCATACCCGTATCTCAACATGTAGATACGGGTATGACAAAAGGGCGGGGTGGGTTTTACTACACGACCCTGAAAGTTAAAATTCATGAAACAATTGGTGTTGGAGGGGAGAAGAATGAAAAAAAGAAGGAAACTATATAAATGGTTAGTAAAGTATGAGTAATTTATGTCAGCTTTAAATATAACAAACTTATTACCAAACTATCATTTAATAACAAATCGACCGCTATCGTTCATTATCCTAATAACAAAAGATTGATGTTTATCAAAACCATTGATATTTAAGGTAACAACCTCCGTTGCACTTTCAGCTTCATGCCAACATCTTGATGCTCTATTAAGCACCTAAACAAGCGACATATCGTAAAGAATCAGATCCGTTGAAAACGAAACTATAGTAGTTCAACTTATCATTCTTTCTTTTTTTCTTTTTGAGGTGTGTTATATACCCTTGTCTGGTGCATCTCCGGACATGGATATGGAGATATGACCCTCCAACTACATGCAGATCTTGGGAGTGGGGTGATTAACATGCTTGTGTTGCACAAACTTTTATTTCCAAGTTCGAGTACCATAACAACAAAATCTGAGCAACGGTTTGGTTATTTTCTGTTTAATGAAAACTTACATGACCGGTAGAAGCAGATTCATGATTTTCCAAAACCAACACCAGCTTTCTTCCTTTTCCGAGTTTCTACCTTTTCGGGGCTCCGGAGTCCGGTCTTATCTTCATTTCTTTTCTAATGCCTGCAATTTAGATCAGTATCATCCAACAAGTCTAAAAGAAGGTTAATCTTTATGGTCATCTTATTTGTTAGATAATTTTATGATCTATTTTATTCTGACTCCTCATTTTTCTTTAAGTACCGACGCCCATATCTGACATATGTCAAGACATAATAGTATAGGGATATTACTCTCAGAGGACCCTCCAGGTACATCGAAAAACTTGAAAGAAATGAAGACCATCACATGGACATATACACGTATCAAACACTTGCAATAGAGTCCGTGTAACAGAGATTATGATCATTCAGAAGGTTGTACTAACCTCTAGCTGTCCGCGAATGCTGTCAAGAACTTCGTCAGTCATTCTGTCAAAAAACAAAATTCCCTGCAAATGCAAGAGCCATAGTTGTAAAAGGAATATCAACACGTCATTAAACTTATAGAACTATTACTAAATGGTCCTTGTGCTTATAAATCAAGCACAACACCAATTCACCAGTGTCTCAAGATCTATATATTATATTAATGTAAAACGTGTCTCTGTGTGTATACCACCTTAATCACGATTATGAGAAGGTAAAATACAAGAACATATTAATACAGTAATTGCTAGATCTACGTTTGTCGGCTATGAAGGTCTATGCAACATATTCAATACTCAACATTCACCATATACATGCATATATAAATATACCTAGATACTTTGATCATTGTACATCAGGGCTATGAAGGTCTAACTCTTCATTTTTCTTGAGTACCCATATATGACATTTGTGTTCAACACGAGTAAGGAAATATGGCCTCTAAATACACGAAAATATTTTAGAAAATCAAACCATACCCGTGTTAGACATATACCCTTATCCAATACTCATACCCAACTTGGATTAACATAGGTACAAAGACCGCTTAGATACTTCAACCCCTATTCCCATGCAGCATAAAGTCCAATAAACAACATTCAATATATATATATATATATATAAATTAGCTAAAAGTACACAGAATCGATCTCCTTACACTAGCAATTGGTAAATTGAGAACAATATAATCACAATTATACAAAACGAACCTGAAGATGGTCAAATTCATGTTGGAAAACGCGTGCAGGAAGCTCTGATAAATCCACTGTAAACTTCGCACCATTAATATCTTGTGCATCAATCTTTACAGATTCCGGCCTCTGAAACCAAAGGATAGAGACAACACATTATATAGAGATGTACACATGAAGGTTGCTGTCAATGGTGCACGGCACACTCCAAATGCTACAACTTTTTATATTGCCAAATGCAAAGTGCCAAAAAAGGCTAAACTAAATGAATAGAAAAATATGTGTATGACCATATTTTCGGAATGTATCTTTGTGTAATATCCATATCACTATATATAGAGAATAAATTTATGGTATATAATAATGATAGCAAACTCTAAAGAGTGGTCTAAAACATGCAAATGTTTCTTTTTGCTTCTATTTTCTGATTAATAAAAACATCTTCCTTATGGTCTCATGTAGATTGTTTAATACTCAAATATTGAAAATCGAAGAGTTTTGATATTACCCTATTTCTTTATAGGAGACTTCAGTAGGCTTTTGCTTATTGCCTTACCAAAAACCAGGCTTAAGCCCACCGAGCATACACCTGATTAAAAAAACCTCACCTAAAAGGGTTTGAGCCCCCTTCTGCTGTTTGACACTAAGATGAAATGAAACGAGTGAAACGAAACAAGAGAGTGAATACAACCGGTTGCAGCAAGTACCTCGACATCAGCATAGATTCTTGGAAAAGATAAGCAACCTTCATTAAACAGCACCGTCTTCTTCGAATATTTTGTAACTTTCGGGTTTATAAGAACGATTTCTTGCCCTTCACCTCGCTCGCCGACGGGATTAAACACCATCAGTTGAACATTAACTCCTACTTGCGGAGCTGAGAGTCCAATGCCGTCAGTTCTGTTACAACAAATGAAAGCAACAATTGTCCACATTAAGATTGAATGAATTCCTCAAACACTTACGTTTTACACTCTTCCCAAGTGTTTGCCTGTCTCTGTGTGTGTGTGTGTGTGTGTGTGTGTGTCAAATTGATTTAAATATATTTAGACTTGTAGCCATTATTTTGCTAAAAATTATAATTAATAGCCCCTCGAAAAAACTTACTTGTACATAACGTCGAACATCTCATCGACAAGTTTCTTCAAATTCTCATCAAATGTATCAATTCGTTTATTTCTCTTCCGCAATATAGGGTCCGGGTACACCGCGATTTGCAGCGGCGACTCGAACCGAAGATCATCCGCTTCAAAACAAAACCAAAAAATGTAACTTAAAAACCATAAATGAAAAAAAGCCATTTTTATCGATGCTTTACTTACGGGAAGCGATTTTGTTGTCTTTGGATGAGAAGCCTCGTTTAGCTTGAGTTAGCAGGGGATTGGTTTGGTTTACCGAGAAAGTGAGGTGCCCGGGTGAAGGTAAACGGTTGAGCTGGTGAAGGAAGGCGGTGGGGTGGTGCAGAATGGGAAGGATAACGCGCGTTAAAGACGGAGAGTGGAGGTGGAGCCAACTGGCACTAGCCATGGAAGATTATAGGGACAAACGTTAATTTCGGACAACTAAAAACATTTTCCTTGTTGAGTTCGAAATTTCTGGATTTTTTGCGTTTTAGACTTTTAGTCCTTGTGAATTCACTTTTCCCTAAATTTGATCTTAGCCATTGGATTTTATCTTTTAGCAAATAATAATAATAATAATAATAATGTGTATTAGGTTCATGCATAGAGACGTTTTTCTCGATATATCATCTTTTCTATTTATTTTTTTTTTGTTAGGCACCATTTAGATTATTTTTTTTATCTAACACCATTTGCAGTAATGCGCCCCCTACAGCGCGTTTTACACTGATCTGGCGTCACGTGAGGTAAGGCGCGCCCCCTGAAGCGCGTCTTATGCTAAATGGGATACACGTGTGTAAGGCGTGGGGCAGGGGTCGCGCCTTACCTGCAAATCTGACACTGTTCAGAATCTTTAATCTTTGCTGGTTATTTCTTCGGTTTTGAGGAATTATTACTGCTAAATTGGTCATGTTATGTTTGTTTTCATGCAGGTCTTTACTTTCCAGAATTAGTGACAAAACGGACGCATTCTGCATTTTTATTATTATTTTGTCACGGCTGGAGACATGGCCATGACGAGGTCTGACGTGGCAGTTTCTAGAAGGTCCAATCAGCGACGGTTTCTAGAAGACTTCCTCTGCATGCCTTCTGGAAGATTGACAAGCAGAGTTACATTAGGAGATAGTTTAAGTTTGAATTTAAATTAAAAAATAATTATCTTTAAGATTATTTTATTTATTTTCTTTGTCTATCCTTTAGTCTTTGAGAGGCTATAAATACCCACTTGGGGTAAGCCTAAACTCATCATTTGGATTACAATCTTCTTTTCTCTCTAGTTTTTATAAAAGCTTTCTCTTTTTACTTTTCAAGTTTTTTTCATTTTTCTTTTATTTTTCAAGCTTTGTTTTTAAAATGCTAAGTATGACTTTTGTCATGCTTAGCTAAATTTTTCATAAGCCGAGAGCTGACGCGATGACTCAATTCCAACGGGAGAATTGAAACAGTCCCTTAATATCTTCATAATATCTCTCTTAATCTCTGCGCTTATTTTTCAAAATCAAAACAGTTTTCAAAATCAAAGATCGACTTTGGTCAAGAGGTTGTTGCGATTAAACGTGTGAGAGGAAGATTCGGCTTATAGAAAGCAATTCGACTTCCTGGGAACACACTTGGCGAGATAGCTTCGCCAAGAGGGAATTGAGATCGGAATTGACGGTTATCAAAGCAACAATCTGAGTCGGAAGCCATGAACTTAAACAGTAATTGATCTACGACAATTGATGTTGTTAGAATCAATTACCGAAGCCGGAATCAAAGATTGCC